ACCACCACCTCCACAACCACCACCACAACAACAACCACAACCACAACAACTACCACCTCAACCAACACCACCACAACAACCACCACAACCACCACGACAACAACAACCACATCCATAACCTCCACAACCACAATCACCGCAACCACCACCACAACCACCACCACAACAACCACCACAACCAGGACCAGCACCACAACCACCACCAACACAACCACCACAAAAACTACCAGAACAACCACCACAACCACCACCACAGCAACCACCACAACAACCACACCACCAGGACCACCACCACATCCACCACAACAACCACCACAACTATCACAACAACCACTACAAATAGCAACACAATTACCACAACCACCACCACCACAACAACCACCACAATCACTACAACCACAACAACCACAATCACCACAACCACCACAACCACCACAACCACCACCACAACCACCACAACAACCACCATCACAACCACCACCACAGCAACCACAACAACCAACACAACCACCACAACAACCACGACAACCACCACCACAGCAACCACCACAACAACTACCACAACCACCACCGCAACAACCACCACAACCACCACAGCCACCAAAACAACCACCACAACCACCACCGCAAACACCACCACAACCACCATAACCACCACCACTACAACCACAACACCACCACAACAACCACCATCACAACCACCACAACCACCACCACAACAACCATATCTACCAACAGAACAACCACCACAACCACTACCACAACAACAACCACCACAACCACCACAACAACCACCACTACAACAACCACCACTACAACCACCACAACAACCACCACCACAACCACCATCACAACCACCACAACAACTGTAGTGACATAGGACGGGTCACTACTGTGTCGGCCTTTACGAGGGCTGGTGGCCCCAAGGGGGTGCCTGGAGGGTCACGTGGTGGAGGATCCGGACCTTCCCAGAGGTGGGGGAAGGGAGGCGAGGCCTGGGCAGAGCCGGCCACGCCGGAGCGGTTATAAGCGGGGTGTGGACACAGAGCGGGGCTGTTCAACCCCGAAGTGAAGACGACATCATCGGTCCTCAAGTCCCGGGTCGTCGTCCATGACCAGGCAGCCCGTTGCCTGCCTGGGTCACGCTGTATAGTGCTCCAGAGTGTTAGTGAGTTGAGGAAGGTGGTCACCACCTTATGTACAGTGTTATATTACTTACCGTTCTTATAAATAGTGTTGCCTCCAAGCTGTGTGTGTGCACCTAATTCGAACCCACTACACAACCACCACCACAACCACGAGCACAACCATCACAACCACCACCACAACCACCACCACAACCAACACAACAACCACCACCACACCCATTACAACCACCACAACCACTACCCCAACCGCCACCACAACCACCACCATCACAACCACCACAACTACCACATCCACCACAACAACCACCACAACAACCACTACAACCACCAACACAACCACCACCACGTGTTAACTTCACACAGTGACAGGGACTGGGAACTAACAATACAAGTCGTCCCCAGGCTTTTTGTCAACACGCCGCACGCAAATTCCGGTTATGGGCAACAATCATTAATATATTTATTCACTAATACATATTTATTATTGTACATATTCACTGTATATTAATGTTTTGCTTAGATGCTTATATTTATGTATTAATATTAATTTATATATCAATATATTTAGAAATATATATTTATAGTTTCATATAAATACGTAAATATGTTTATATTTTGTTACGTATATACATTATTTTATATATTTTTTCTTATAAAGATGCGTATATTTACGTATTAATAAATATATTTCGAAATATATGTATATATAAATCCACATTTATAATAAAAAATATAACGATATGAATATATTACAAAATCTGAAGATATTTACAAATTTATTTAAATGTAAATACATGTGTATATATGTTTATATAAATATACCAATAAATATATATTCATAGGTATATTTTAAATATATCTATAAATATATATTCATAGGTATATTTGAAATATATTTTTATCTATACATTAATTAACATTTACATAGAAACTTAACAAAATATAAAAAATATATATTAAAAAATATACGTGTGTATATATTTAGAAATAAATGTGTGTCGAAGTACGATGACCAGCCGTGTGGTAGTGGTAGTAGCTAAACGGTGCCACGTGACGCATCGTGGTGCTGGTGTGATGACAGCGGTGTGGTAGTGGTGGTAGCTAGACGGTGCCACGTGACGCACCGTGGTGCTGGTGTGATGACAGCGGTGTGGTAGTGGTGGTAGCTAGACGGTGCCACGTGACACACCGTGGTGCTGGTTCGATGACAGCGGTGTGGTAGTGGTGGTAGCTAGACGGTGCCACGTGACGCACCGTGGTGCTGGTTCGATGACAGCAGTGTGGTAGTGGTAGTAGCTAGACGGTGCCACGTGACGCACCATGATGCTGGTGCGATGACAGCGGTGTGGTAGTGGTAGTAGCTAGATGGTGTCACGTGACTCACCGTGGTGCTGGTGTGATGTTGCTGCGTGATCCTCCATTGGCACCGCTTGGGGCTGGGTTCAACAAAATAAATACAAATGGGGGGCGGGGCGGTGAGGAAGAATCTTTGGGTGATACCGAATGTATGGATGGGGACTTCATGGCAACTGAGAGCGTTAATACGCAATGGAGCGTACACATTGGAGGTGAATAAAAATATATATATTTCACTCTGATCACATTCCACACACAAGAACTGCCACCAGCCCCTCGGAATTGAGATCTATTCCGTCTGTGTGGGATAGAGTGTATCCCCTCTCTCCCTCCCCCCATTCCCTACCTCCCCTCCCTCCATCCCCTCCCTCCGTCCCCTCCCTCCCTTTCCTCTACTCCCTTACCCCCTCTCTCCCCCCTTCCCCTCCCTCCCCTCCCTCCCTTCCCTCAATTCCTCAACTCCCTCCCTTCCACTCCTCACATGCGTGAATTTCCTTCCGAGTTCTCCGTTCTCCTCCCACGACGTTTTGATTGCAACACAAGCGATTATCCTTTGGTTGGCTGTCAGTATACTGAACGGAAAAAAAAATTGCTTGTTTGATTTGGAGCTTTCGTGACTGCAGGAATTACTCTTTGGTTATGCGTTAATTGTGTGTTGACCGACTCTCTGTGTTTCATTGCATTACATTTCCAAATTTTGCAAAGTTTGTTTGATTAAGTGTGTTTTCTCTTTCACTGTGTGTCCTCGTGTTGTAGTATTTCCAGCAGTCACGAAAGCTCCAAATCTCTCATTGACGTGCTAATTTCTCTACCCCCCCCCTCTCTCTGCCCCCCTCTCTCTCTATTTAAGACCTCGACACAGAGGCGTTGTTTATCTGTGTGCCTACGTGTGTCTCTCTCTGTGTGTCTCTGTGTTATCTCTCTCTGCTTATGTGTCTGTCTATGTGTCTCTGTGTCTGTGTTTTGTCTCTCTCTCAAATTTAGCAATCTTTGGAAGAACGTAATAAACCAGGTAGGGTGTTGACTGTTATGCTAGCCGACTCTCTGAGTTGTATTGCATTATATTTCAAAGTTTACTAGGTTTGTTTTCTCTTTCATTTGTACCTGATGATGATTGCTTGTGTTGCAATCGAAACGTCGTATGCTATTATTTAATTTATTTTTTCTTTCTACGTGACTTTACCGAAAGAACCAAAGAGTATATCGACGTAAATAATTATTGCCATAATTTGTGTCCGGAGTGTTTACAAAATGCCTGGAATCGATTTTTATTTTTAGTTCCCAGTCCCTGTCACTGGGTGAAGTTCACGCGTGGTTGTGGTGGTTGTTGTGGTGGTTGTGGTGGTGGTTGTGGTGGTAGTTATGGTGGTTGTGGTGGTTGTGGTGATTGTAGTGACGGTTGTGGTGGTTGTTGTGGTGGTTGCTGCTCTGCTGCCTTCTCCTGGCGAGCTCCGGACCACTTGGCGTCTCGTCGACTCGCCCTCGCGGGGAGTTCCCAGCAGCGGCAGTGCGTGATCTACCAACCCCGCCCCCCCCACAGTGCTGGGTCACAGCGAGGCTGCAAGTTGCCCCTCAGTGCCTCTGTTTGTTTTTGTTGTCGCCAACGCGGGACTCCCCCAGTGGCGGGAAGCCAGAATATCAGAATCTGTGTTTGTAGTGCAGGCAGAATCCGATGAGCTGTGAAGCTCTTTGTGGTCACAGATGGTGCAGTGGTGAGGGCGGGCGTGGGGGGGACAGATGTGGTGACGTCACTGCGTTGAGGAAGCGTGCATGGTGACGTCACCGCGTTGGTGGAACGTGCGTGGTGACGTCACCACATCCATGACGCAGCAGCAGATAACTGGAACAGCTCGGACATTGTTGGCGCCTTTTGTGTTTGGCGCCCTCACTTTATTTGCTTATTTGTAGATTAAATTTCCTTGGCAGTGGCTGTGTAGAGGATTTGGTCCTCGTCTTTAATTAATGAACAGCGTTGTGGCATGCAGTGAGCACGAATGACGCTGTACACAACTACATTGTTGTTGTTTTTGTTCTGTGTTTTTATTGTAGAATCAATGATACAAGCGTTACAATGCCACTGTCGTAAACGTAGATTTATACTTTTAAAAAATTAATATAATTATTGTTGTTGTTGTTGTATCTCTCCCACAACCCATGACACCACCAGTGTATAAACACATCCCAGTTCACCATTGCTAATCACTGCACCCCTACGCTACAATCACACTCCTCCGACAGAGTGAATACATCCACGTTGGTTTCACACACACACACAGAGCGTTACTTATTTTATCACCCCCCCCCACCCCCCCCATAAATGAAGGTTGTGAGGATTGTTTACGCTCAGCCCCCCCGTTGTGACGGAGAGCCATGCAGCCCCAAGCCACCGAAAGCCACCAGCCAGTCACGGGCGTGGCACTGCGCGTGACGGTGACGAGGGTGGCGAGCGCCGTGCATCGTGGTGTCTGCCCTCTGCGCTGTTCACGTTCACCGCTCTCAGGACGCACCACTCAGATCCACAATCCTCACTGAGTCCCCACTCCCATACACTCCCAGCCCAGGATGTAGGGGCTGAGCGAAGGTTTGGTGAAACGAGTGGAATGGCGCCATGGAGTCGGCGCTGTAAAATGACAGCAGCCCCGAGTCCCAGTCGAGATGGACCCCGACTCTCTGCGGAGGCTCCGGCACCGACAGTGAGGTCTCTACCCCGCCGTGCACCACTGAGAAGCTGTTGCCATGTTTCCGTAGACACCAAGATACGTCACTCCCTCCCAGGCCGCACTCAGCACCACTCCCCCTCCGTGGGATCGTCCCGTACGCGACTCCAACCCCACACCACCCCGCACTCCCCACGTCCACCTCCCAGTAGTGCTGACCTGACGAGAAGCTCTCAGGGCACAGGGCTTGTGGATAGAAATCAAAGCGGTGTGGGTGATGGGAGCGATGCTGGGGGATAATGCTCCACGTCACCGTCCTGAGATCCGAGGAAATCTGGAGGATGTCGTGGGCAGAGTTTGTGTCCAGAGTCGGTGAGCGTCCATCTGTGGTGAGGACAGCGACAACGCCCGCACAGCGGTCACTGACGACGCGTGCACAGTAGCGGCACGAGCACACACACACACGCTGGTGTTATGTTGTCTGTTGTTTTGTTGTGGTCATACCTCACTAGGTGATACATTGATACGTAACACTGTGATTATCACACGTATGACAAATGAATACAAAACTAATATTCGTTAGTATTAGTGTGCACATACTAATATTTGTTAGTGTAGCGGCATCGTTGAGCGCTGTACGCAATTGCCACTGCTTGTAGCCTGTAACAACGGCCTCGAGTCAACAGGGGGCAGAGGGGAGTGTGATGGTGAGTAGTCAGGCCGTTGGGCTAAGGCAGCTCGGACCACAGGTACAAATTCCCAGACCCCCAGGAAGGGGGCTGGGGGATAACGTTACTCCCCAGGCCCTTCCAGACGGTTCCAGAAGGGAGGAGTGGCTAGGGGCAGAGTGAGCCAGAATCCAGTATAAAAGACGGTCCCCTCAACGGGACGGGGAGTCGTCGTTACCTGAAGACCTAAGAGCCACCCTGGAGCCGCCACCTTGAAGCCCGAAGCGAAGAGCCCAAACGGCGGAACCCGAACCCCTGCCTAGGGTCGAGTCAAAGCTTATCCAGCAAAGACGTTAAAGTGTAACCAGTGTTAGGGCAGGCTAGCCCGGGGGATATACCTCTATAGATATCGGGTGGAATGGGCCATACCCCTTTTTATATTGTAAGTTTTATTGTTGAATAAACGTGCTGCCTCCAGAAGAAGTGAAGTCTTCTCAAGTTTCCCACTCCCCACGTCCACCTCCCAGTAGTGCTGACCCGACAAGAAGCTCTCAGAGCACAGGGCTTGTGGACAGCACTCAAAGCGGTGTGGGTGATGGAGGCGACCCTGGGGGACATCGCTCTGCCTCACCGTCCTGAGATCCGAGGAGATCTGGAGGAGGTCGTCGACTGAGTTTGTGTCCAGAGTCGGTGAGCGTCCATCTGTTAGTATTAGTGTACACATACTAATATTAGTTAGTATTAGTGTACATATACTAATATTCATTAGTATTAGTGTACACATACTAATATTCGTTAGTATTAGTGTACACGTATTAATGTTAGTTAGTATTAGTGTACACATACTAATATTCGTTACTATTGGTGTACACATACTAATATTAGTTAGTATTAGTGTACACACACCAATATTCGCTAGTATTAGTGTACACATACTAATATTCGTTAGTATTAGTGTACACATACTAATATTAGTTAGTATTAGTGTACACACACTAATATTCGTTTTAGTGTACACATTCTAATATTCGTTAGTATTAGTGTACACATACTAGTATTCGTTAGTATTTGTGTACACATATTAATATTAGTTAGTATTAGCGTACACTAATATTAATATTCGTTAGTATTAGTGTACACATAATAATATTCGTTAGTATTAGTGTACGCGTTCTAATATTCGTTAGTATTAGTGTAAGAAAACTAGTATTCGTGTACACAAACTAGTATTCGTTAGAATTAGTATGCACAAACTAATACTCGATAGTATTAGTGTACACATACTAATATTCGTTAGTATTAGTGTACACAAACTAGTATTCGTTAAAATTAGTGTACACAAACTAATATTCGTTAGTGTTTGTGCACACGTACTAACACATTCCTGCGGAGGGAGCTGCTAGGAACGTTGGGTTGCTCGGTCAATGGCCAGAGTCAACGGCGGCGTGGTGTATTCCGCAAATATGCCCGACTGTGAGGGCGGGCACAAGCCGGCGTGAGTAGGTTAAACGTTGAGTTTTATAAGGGCACCACGGAGTGACCAGCCCCTCCCCACCCAGCCCCGCCCCTCCCACCCCCACCCAGCCCCACCCTCCCCACCCAGCCCCTCCCCACCCTCCCCACCCAGCCCCTCCCCACCCAGCCCCTCCCCACCCTCCCCACCCAGCCCCTCCCCACCCTCCCCACCCAGCCCCTCCCCACCCTCCCCTCCCCACCCAGCCACACCCTCCCCACCCAGCCACACCCTCCCCACCCAGCCCTTCCCCACCATCCCCTCTCAAACCAGCCCCACTCCTCCCATTTTTGGATGCACGACGGACGGACGGACACAATAATCCCCTGTGGGCTGGTGGAACCAGGAGGTCCCTACCAGTAACATTCGTTAATATTAGTGTATACATACTCATTTGCGTTAGTTTTAGTGTAAACATTAATATTTGTTAGTATTAGTGTACACATATTAATATTCGTTAGTATCTGTGGACATTTTCTAATAATCATTTGTATTAGTGTAAAATACTAAAATTCGTTAGTATCTGTGTACATATACTATTATTCATTAGTATTAGTATAGACATACTAGTGTAGTGACATCGCGGATGTCACTGTGTAATGCCGGCCCTAGAGAGGCAGGGCATGCGTTGTATTGACATCACGGGCACCAATAGAATGTGGGTGCAGTACCGGCCCTAGAGGGGCTCGGTGAGCGCTGATCGATAGCGCTTGATGGCACCACGCTTGGCGTGCAGTGCCGACCCCTACAGGATAGGGTGTGAGAGTGCCGGCCACGGGGAATGGGGTTACTATAGGCCGTGGCACTGTGGTTGACCCCAGAGGACACGTGACCGGTAAAGTCTACACAGGGGCCCCAAGTGGGGGCTAGGGGTGGTCACATGTCAGGGTCGAGATCCTGCTCGAGGATTTTAGAAGGTGGTCGTGGTCAAGGACGGCGAAGCCAGCCACGCCGCAGAGGATATCAGCCAGGTCACCCAGAGGGACCGGCGCTGTTGTTATCCTGAAGAAATCTACGTTCTAGGTTCTACGTCCTACAGAGTCTCAAACACGTGGACCGGAACCCAAGCTGTGGTCTGGTCCGTTGTAGCTAGTTATAGTGTAATTAGTGTAGTTAGCCTGGTGATCACCACCATAAGTTGTTTTTCTGTAAAAGGGTAGTTGCCCCGTGTGTTGGTGTTAATAAATGTGTTTAATCCAATGAGTACGTCTGCAACTCAGTTGAACCCATTACACTAGTATTAGTGTACACATACTAATATTCATTAGTATCTGTGTACACATACTAATATTCGTTAGTCTAGTGTACACAAACTAATATTAATTAGTATTGGTGTACATATACTAATATTCGTCAGTATCTGTGTAGACATACTAGTATGCGTTAGTATTTCTGTATACATACTAATAATCGTTAGTATAAGTGTGCACACAATAATATTCGATAGTATCTGTGTACACAATAGTGAATAATTAGTGAATAATAATTAATGATAATAGAATTACACTAACATTACCATGGGTGTGTGTGCAGTGGTAGTGAACAGTGGTGATGATGCCAGCACCACGATGTGAACGCCACTCTCACAGCGTCTCTCTACAAACACGACGCCTGTACCACAGCCACCACAGCCTCGCACACTCTCACACCCACACACAGACATTGTGTGTCACAGCCTCGCACACTCTCACATCCACACACAGACATTGTGTCACAGCCTCGTACACTCTCACATCCACGCACATACATTGTGTGTCACAGCCTCGCACAATCTCACACCCACACACATACATTTTGTGTCACAGCCTCGCACACGCTCACACCCACGCACAGACATTGTGTGTCACAGCCTCGCACATTCTCACACCCACGCACAGACATTGTGTGTCACAGCCTCGCACACTCTCACATCCACACACAGACATTGTGTGTCACAGCCTCGCACACGCTCACACCCACGCACAGACATTGTGTGTCACAGCCTCGCACACTCTCACATCCACGCACATACATTGTGTGTCACTGCCTCGCACAATCTCACACCCACACACAGACATTGTGTGTAACAGCCTCGCACACTCTCACACCCACGCACAGACATTGTGTGTCACAGCCTCGGACACTCTCACATCCGCGCACAGACATTGTGTGGCACAGCCTCGCACACTCTCACACCCACTCACAGTCATTGTGTGTCACAGCCCCGCACACTCTCACACCCACACACAGACATTGTGTGTCACAGCCTCGGACACTCTCACATCCACACACAGTCATTGTGTGTCACAGCCTTGCACACTCTCACACCCACTCACAGTCATTGTGTGTCACAGCCCCGCACACTCTCACACCCACACACAGACATTGTGTGTCACAGCCTCGCACACTTTCACATCCACACACAGACATTGTGTGTCACAGCCTCGCACACTCTCACACCCACGCACAGACATTGCGTGTCACAATCTCGCACAGACATTGCGTGTCACAGCCTCGCACACTCTCACACCCACGCACAGACATTGTGTGTTACAGCCTCGCACACACTCACACCCACACACAGACATTGTGTCACAGCCTCGCACACTCTAACATCCACACACAGACATTGTGTGTCACAGCCTCGCACACTCTCACACCCACGCACAGACATTGTGTGTTACAGCCTCGCACACTCTCACACCCACTCACAGTCATTGTGTGTCACAGCCTCGCACACTCTAACATCCACACACAGACATTGTGTGTCACAGCCTCGCACACTCTCACATCCACGCACAGACATTGTGTGTTACAGCCTCGCACACTCACACCCACTCACAGTCATTGTGTCACAGCCTCGCAAACTCTCACATCCACACACAGACATTGTGTGTCACAGCTTCGCACACTCTCACATCCACGCACAGACATTGTGTGTCACAGCCTCGCACACTCTAACATCCACACACAGACATTGTGTGTCACAGCCTCGCAAACTCTCACACCCACACACAGACATTGTGTGTTACAGCCTCGCACACTCTCACACCCACTCACAGTCATTGTGTGTCACAGCCTCGCACACGCTCACACCCACGCACAGACATTGTGTGTCACAGCCTCGCACACTCTCAAATCCACGCACATACATTGTGTCACAGCCTCGCAACAATCTCACACCCACACACAGACATTGTGTGTCACAGCCTCGCACACTCTCA